AGGGCTGAAGATTGAGGGTACTGGTCAGGTACTATGGAAGATCAGGATACTGCAGTCACCAACACCTGGGGATTGAGGATACTGGTATTTAAGGAAGATGAGGATACTGGCACTATGAAGATGAGGGCCTTGGTACTATGGAAGATGAGGATACTGGTACTATGAAGATGACCTGGATCCTGTGTTCCTACTATCTGAAGATGAGGATACTGGTACTATGGAAGATGAGGATACTGGTACTATGGAGATGAGGATACTGGTACTATGGAAGATGAGGATACTGGTACTATGGAAGATGAGGATACTGGTACTATGGAAGATGTGAGGATACTGGTACTGATGGAATATGTGGATATGAGGATACCGGTACTAACGAAGATTGAGGATACTGGTACTATGGAAGATGAGGATACTGGTACTATCGAAGATTGAGGATATTGGTACTATGGAATGATGAAGATACCGGTACTATCGAGTCACTATGAGGATACTGGTACTATGGAAGATGAGGATACTGGTACTATCGAAGATTGAGGATACTGGTACTATGGAAGATGAAGATACCTACTATCGAAGATTGGGGATACTGGTACTATGGAAGATGAGGACTGGTACTATGGAAGATGAGGATACTGGTACTATCGAAGATGAGGATACTGGTACTAAGGAAGATGAGGATACTGGTACTATGGAAGATGAGGAATCTGGTACTATGGAAGACTGAGGATACTGGGCTATGAAGATGAGGATACTGGTACTATATGGAAGATAAGATACTGGTACTATTGAAGATACTGGTACTATAGAAGATGAGAATACTGGTACTATGGAAGATGAGGATACTGGTACTATCGGATAGATTGAGGATACTGGTACTATGGGAAGATGAAGGATACTGGTACTGGATACTATACTGGTACTATGGAATGAGGATACTGGTACTATGGAAGATGAGGATACTGGTACTATGGAAGATGAGGATACTGGTACTATGGAAGATGAGGATACTGGTACTATGGAAGATGAGAATACTGGTACTATGGAAGATGAGGATACTGGTACTATGGAAGATGAGGATACTGGTACTATGGAAGATGAGGATACTGGTACTATTGAAGATACTGGTACTATGGAAGATGAGGATACTGGTACTATGGAAGATGAGGATACTGGTACTATGGAAGATTGAGGATACTGGTACTATGGAAGATGAAGATACCGGTACTATGAAGATTAAGGATACTGGTACTATGGAAGATGAGGATACTGGTACTATGGAAGATGAGGATACTGGTACTATTGAAGATACTGGAAGAGATGAGGATACTGGTACTATGGAAGATGAGGATACTGGTACTATGGAAGATGAGGATACTGGTACTATGGAAGATGAGGATACTGGTACTATGGAAGATGAGGATACTGGTACTATGATTGAAACTGATTGAGGATACTGGTACTATGGAAGATGAGGATACTGGTACTATGGAAGATTGAGGATACTGGTACTATGGAAGATGAGGATACTGGTACTATCAAAGATTGAGGATACTGGTACTATGGAAAATGAGGATACTGGTACTATCGAAGATGAGGATACTGGTACTATGGAAGATGAGGATACTGGTACTATCGAAGATGAGGATACTGGTACTATGGAAGATGAGGATACTGGTACTATGGAAGATGAGGATACCGGTACTATGGAAGATGAGGATACCGGTACTATGGAAGATGAGGATACCGGTACTATCGAAGATTGAGGACTGGGGTGAAATACTAGAGGCCTTCTAAATAGGTATCCCCCAAGGTATGGGATCATCTTAGGCAATTATACATTAATCACTCCACTACACTTGGTGAAATTCTGCCCATCTCATACTATGGTGTCCTAAATGCTTGATTACTCCTGGCACGTTCAGTCACCAAATCTGGCCATGTCCCCGGATCCAGAGCTTCTGGAAACAAGTTGTTCAGTTAGTTCATGATCACATGGGTTCCCCACTCAAACTAGACCCCAAGCAATGCCTCTTAGCCTTTTTTCCAGAATCTGATATGGATAAACACTGTAACATTTTTACACAAAACTCTCTTTGCAGCCAGGAAGTTGATATCTAGAGGTTGGTTTCCGGCTGCGCCTCCCACTATACAAGGTTGGATGTCCCAAATGAATAATACTTCACCCTACAAGAAAGTTGTCTATATTACAGAGGCTGCCCCAACAATGACCATAGGATCTGGGAGAGGTGGTCACAGGCCGATACATGTACCTCCTAACAAATATAGGTGGCCTAGATCAGGGGCGGACTGACAACTCATGGGGCCCCAGGCAATAGGGGATCATGGGGCCCCTGTGTCCTTGCCAAAACTCAAAAAAGCCTATGAAAAAGGTACCAGTGGCATCTCATGGGGCCCCCTACTGACCCCGGGCCCTCGGGCAGTGCCCGAGTTTCCAAATGGTCAGCCCGCCCCTTTCCTAGATACCCATCAATATGGGGTCATACTTTCTGCAGAGATATTCATGTTATCCCTGTTATTGCTACCCATTCATTGGTGGGAATCTGGGATTTATGTATCATGCACACTGTACTGCTGTGTATTGTGTATCTTAATCACTCTTGATGTCTCTTTCACTTTACGTGCTTACTGTAACTGTGACAGAAGTTTCCATGCCATGCCGAAAGAAAAGAATCTGATGACCAAATATGACAACACCACTCACTGAATGACAGCTCTCTGAGCTATAATCTGCAATATACGGGAAGGGGGGAGGGGATAGTGGTGACATCATTGGGGATCAGGAGCCATTTCCATCCTTTACTGTCAGCTGAGCAGTAATATACGGAGTTTATCTCCCCCTTGGTGGGAGTGGAGGTGACCCCTCTATAAGGATCTACAGTCCATACACACCCAGCACAAGGCCGGGGTCACACTACCAGACGCTTCTCGGGGCTGCAGTTCCTCTGAGCTCCACAAGGTGCTGATCTTACTTATACCCAGACCGGAAGTGATGTCAGGGACAGACAGGAAGTAATGTCAATTACAGACAGGAAGTGATGTCAGGCAGAAGTAGAGAGGAGACATTGTTGAATCTGGCAGCAGAGGAGGTAATACGTAGATTAACCCCTTCAGGGGAAGGAGTTGATGATAATATATTTGCTCCCAAAGCTGGCCTACATGGTTCAGTTTTATCGTTCAGCCAGCGGGATTAGCAGAAAACCTGATCAGTACTGAAGCTATTGGCTGCAGCCGCTGGGGGAGTGGCTTTTATCCGGCAGTGGCCACACATGGATGGAAATGTGAGCGATCCCTGCTGAACCAGCTGAATTTCCATGGATCTATGGTCACCTTCAGTGACTTCCTCCCCTCCCCCTCATCTCCTTCATGATGGAAGTCATGCTGAGATCATCTCCCATTGGCTGAGCAATATTCTCATTTGTCTCTCAGCTCCTTCTTGCTATTCCTCGTCCTGCCTGTTGTTTCCTTGGATTGATTTTCTGTGTAGTGACCCCGGCTTGGTCTCTTGGATGCGCTCGTCTGTTGCTTGCCCTGACACCTTTCTCCTGATTCCTGGATCTCCTCCTCATCTCTCCTCCATATCCTCTTACACAGCTTTTCTCCACACCTGCAGTGACCCTGGGGGGAGGAAACTTGGCACCAGCACGCCGCCAAATCCATCCCCACCATTAGGGGCTCTGGAGACAATTGTCTGCTATTTACACTCCGTTCCTCCGCACGTCACCTGATCACATGACAGCTTACTTCCACAGATTCCGGACAGATTTCTGGATGGTAAAGGTCAAAGTTCACTCTTCAGTTTAGGAGAGGTAGGACGCACCCAGGAACAAGGATTTGGTTTATACAGGAGCCTCATATAGAGGACCCCTCCAATCTCCCCATCCAAATGTCCCTCCATCCAGAGTCTATATGTCCTATGACATCACACTGACCTCACAGCTCCTCCTCCCAATCCCTCCATCCAGAGTGAGAATCCTATGACATCCTCATCCCCCCAGAGTCAGATCCAGATCAGAGAATCCTATGACATCACACTGACCTCACGGCTCCTCCTCCCAATGTCCCTCCATCCAGAGTCCGAGAATCCTATGACATCACACTGACCTCACGGCTCCTCCTCCCAATGTCCCTCCATCCAGAGTCCAAGAAATCCTATGACATCACACTGACCTCACGGCTCCTCCTCCTAATGTCCCTCCATCCAGAGTCCAAGAATCCTATGACATCACACTGACCTCACAGCTCCTCCTCCCAATGTCCCTCCATCTGATTTTTTCTGATGCTCTTAGGATGTGGGGCCCCTTGGTATCCTCACATGTAAAGTGGGACTGTTGGTCCTGCGTTGTATGTAATGACATCAGAATGCTGCAACAAGCCTATACCCTGCGTAGTGTGGGGGTCCTGTGGGGGGGAATTATACCTCAGCCTGAAGTGGGGCTTTAATAAAATGGAGACCTGAATGGAGAGGTGAGGAGGAGGATTCTGGGAATATCATTTGATGTGACTATTTGTGTTCAGATGTAGAGTTTTCCTCCTGTGAAGTCTGGAGATCATATGACATCACATTGCCTCCACCTCCCTCCCTGATAGAAGAGAGAAAGAAGAAGAAGATTCTAGAAGTCACCAGAGAGATCACTGAGCTGTTGACAGGAGAGGTGAGCGGTGCCGGGAATTCTGGGACATTCTCCAGTAACAGACAAGGGATGTGTCTGGATGGTGACTGTATCATGTGTGTGTCAGGTTCCTATAAAGGTGTCAGGGTGTCACTGTCTATTTCTCCATGGAGGAGTGGGAGTATTTAGAAGGACACAAGGATCTCTACAAGGACGTCATGATGGACAATCAGCCGCCCCTCACATCACCGGGTAAGAGGAGACTTTATTGTAAAGGAGAGAGCAGTACGGAGGATCCACCTAGATCCCCCATCATCTGATAAACACATAGAAACAATGGATTCAGTCAGTGTGTGTGTTTTCCTACAGATGGATCCAGTCATGGGAACCCACCAGAGAGATGTCCCCGTCCTCTGTATTCCCGGGATTCCACACAGGAAGGTCACACCATCCCTCACCATCATCAGGTAGATGAGGAACAATCACTGATAGTTATGATTTATACACAGCATGTTTGTTACAATGAATTTTATTTATATCTTTCAGAGTGGAATCCTCTGGGATTATAATATTGTTGTTAAGGAAGAATTTAAAGAGGAGGATGAGGAGTATGGAGTGATGGAGTCCTCAGAAGGTCACAAAGATATGATAGAGGCACCCAATACCAGTAAATCATCAGAGAGATGTCTCCATTCTTTGTATTCCCAGGATTTCACACAGGAAGGTCACACCATCCCTCACCATTACAAGGTTGGTGGGACAGAGTATCTACAACATAAACTTGTGGAGACAATTTGTGCAATTGTCATGTGAGTTTATATTTTACATTTGATTTTTTTTTCTTGGTTTAGGGTGAAGATCTGATAGATATAAAAGTTGAGGTTAAATCAGAAGAAGAAGAGGCGTATGTGAGGGATGATCAGCAGTCTATGGAGGAGGATGGAATAACGGGGACATTTATAGAGGAGGACACTCCTACAGAGATCAGCACAGGTGGGTCATGAACACTAAATCCATTCCTCCACCCATACTGCTCACTGATTGGTCCAGAGTAGGGCGGGGACTGGGTGATATCAGCCTGTAATCCCCTGGTCACTTTCCTGAGCTGTGTTCCCCGTCCTGTATTCCTGGATTTCTCTCGGATAATCTTCCTTCTCTGTGCTGCAGACACAATTTATGTATCTAGACTGGATTTATGGAGGTTCTGGGGATCAGCTGGCAGCAAAATGTTGATTTTTACTATAAGCATTGCATAATGTAGGCACCCAGGACATGTGACTGGGGTCTTCTGCCTTGTGCCTGACTCTTCCAGGGTACCTTCTCTTTCATCTGCTGTATCTAGACTGGATTGATGTAGATTCTGGGTTCAGTTGGAAGGAAAATATTGATTCATAGCCTCTGCTCAACCTAGGCACCTGTCAGGGCCTGGACTTGAACCCGAGTCCTCTACTGTGTCTGGCAGTATCTCCTCTCACTACCTGAGATGTTCGACAGCACTCTGTCTGCTCCATTGGATAATCCTGCCTTGTGCCTTGTTTTCTGCTGAACCTTGAACTCTTGGCTCCTCCCATGAACTTCCTGATTTAAGCCATGTCTCTGCACTTCCTGTTTGCAATATTATTGTGCCTTCTCCAGCCAGTATCTTGCTCTTGTCTCTCCAGCTACCATCTGTACCTTTGCTACTGACCTTTGGCTTGTCTAAAATTCTGTCTCATCCCAACCTCCAACCACTTGTTACTGACACTTGGCTTGTTTACTGATAATGCTTCTGCTTGATCCCTACCCACCATAACTGTTACTGAGTCTTGGCTTGCTCACCTCCTGGTGGGGCGATCCTGAGAACTGCAACCTGGTACTAGCACACAGCAAAACCCATTTCCACCATCAGGAGCTGTGGTGAATACCAGTTAGTGCTTAGACCCCATACCTCAAGTGAGCCTGCGTCATCTGCCAGGGTGACTTGATGTATACTTATTCTGTGTTGGTTGGTCTGCTGCTATAACTACTGGTTTCCGAGCCCGACCTCTGACCATGACAGAATAATCTAGCCCAAACATGGAGGCCACAAATTAGAGGATAATGTGGCAGACAGATCAGACATGGGTCAGTCCTTATTGGTGGGTGGAATGGGGAAAGATGGGGGGAGGGCTATGGCAGATTATAAGAAGGTTCCCATGTTACAAACAACCATTGGAATTGGTACGATTTGTACGAAAAATATAACATATGCAAAATCCGTGTGAACAAGGTGTCAATTAATTAAAATGTTTGTTCACCAATGCCAGAAGGTTGCTCAGGAAAATAGGTGAGTTGGAAGGTTTGGTGCATGAAGAGAACTAGGATTGAATTGGTATTGCTGAATCTTGGCTTCATTCTTCACATGACTGGGCCATTCATATTCCTGGCTAGGTTCTCTTTTGTAGAGACGGGGAAAATTGGAAAGGTGGTGGTGTCTGTCTCTATGTGAGAAGTGATCTCAGAGCGAGTGTGAAAAGAGGACTAGTTGATGGAGAGTGTGATGAGGCTGAAGCTTTATGGGTGGAACTGCACATGGGGGTACTTGCTACAAAGGTAATCAATGGAGTTTGTTATAGGCCTCCCAGTGTTAATGAGGAGGTGTGAGACTCAGCTCCTTGCACAGATCGAAAAGGGCTTGCAAGGTCAAGGTCTAGGACAGTGATATTAATGGGGATGGTAACTACCTGGAAATTGACTGGAGTAATGGTACTGCAGGAACAGTTAAAGGGCAAAAATGTATAAACCTACTGCAGGACAATTTTATGGTATAGTTCATAGAGGCCCCAACTAGGAATGATGCTCTGCTTGGACCTGCTAATCCTCAAACCATGCAGATCTTATTACGAATGTCAATATAAAAGAACATCTTGGGTAGCAGTGACCATAACATGATTTCATTTATTGTTAGCTGTAAACAGCGAGCCCACATGGGAAAAATAAAGACACTCAACTTTAAGAGAGCTAATTTTCCAAGGCTGAGTGCTGCTCTCCAAAGACTTAGATTGGGAGGGAATATTGGCATCGATGAACACAACACAGAAATGGGAGTTCTTCAAAAAGACTGTATGTGACCACACTGCAAAATATATCCCCATGGGCAACAAGTATAAAAGGCTAAAAATCAAACCTATGTGGCTTACGGCCAAAAAGTTACAAAAGCGATTAGATAATAAGAAAAAGAGCTTTATTTAAGTATTAAAATGAAGGAACGCGATCATTCGTTTACACATTACAAAGCATAGAACAGAATATGCAAAAAGGAAATTGAAAACAAACGACAGATTGCAAAAGATATCAGGACGACCCCAAAACATTCTTCCAATATATGAATAGTAGAAAGGTCCGGTCCCAGCATGTAGGCCCTTTACAGAAAACCATCTAGAGGGGGTGACTGGGGGACAAAGAGAAGGGACAATGTATGAAATCCCTTCTTCAGCTCTGTGTATACAAAGGAGCATGGGGGGGCTCTTGTCCATAATGGGCGTGGTACTGACACCCCCCCAGATGATCCACATTGGCTCACAATTGATATGATCCAGAAATATTTAGACAGAATAAAGGTGAATAAAGCCCCTGGACCGGATGGCATTACACCCACGGGGCCTTAAAGGATTCAGCTCTGTCATCTCACAGCCATTGTTTTCTCATTTTCAAGGACACTCTTTTAATGACTGGCATAGTACCCACTGGATTGGTGTTCAAGGCCAATGTGGGGCCAAAATTTTAAAAGGGGTCAAAAAATCTTTCCCAAGTAATTATAGACCTGTTAGTTGTAACTTCTATAGTTTGGGAAGATACTGGAGAGATTAATAAAAGACCACAGAGAGGAGTTTAGTGCTGCTTGAAACAAATATTTTAAGCAACAGACAGCATGGATTCATGAAAGACAGAAGTTGTCAAACAAAGCGCTGATTTCTTTTTCAGTCGAGGATGTGAGAAATACCTTGGACAGAGGGTGTGGGTGTGGATGTGGTGTGTACTTGGACAGAGGGATGGCTGTGGACATGGAAGACTTGGAGCAGAGGGGTGGTTGGTGGACGTGGTATACTTGGAATCGAGGGTTGGCAGTGGACGTGGTATACTTGGACAGAGGGGTGGCGGTGGACGTGGTATACTTGGACAGAGGGGTGGCGGTGGTTCGTGGTATACTTGGACAGAGGGTGGCGGTGGACGTGGTATACTTGGACAGAGGGGTGCCGGATGGACGTGGTATACTTGGACAGAGGGGCGTGGCGGGTGGCGGTGGACGAGTGTATATACCTTGGACAGAAGGAGGTGGCGGTGGATGTGGGTATACTTGGGACAGAGGGGTGGCTGTGGACGTGGTATACTTGGACAGAGGGGTGGCGGTGGATGTGGTATACTTGGAACAGAGGGGTGGGCGGTGGACGTGGTTTATACTTGGACAGAGGGGTGGGCTTGTGACGTGGTATACTTGGACAGAGGGGTGCCGGTGGACGTGGTATACTTGGACAGAGGGGTGGCGGTGGACGTGGTATACTTGGACAGAGGGGTGGCGGTGGATGTGGTATACTTGGACAGAGGGAGTGGTGGCGGTGGGACGTGGTTATACTTGGACCAGAGGGGTGGGCGTGTGGACGTGGTAATACTTGGACAGAGGGGTGGCGGTGGACGTGGTATACTTGGATTTTGCAAAAGCATTTGACACAGTTTCCCCACACACGGTCTAATGTGTAAGGTAAAGTCTATGGGAAAAATTGGTTTGGAAATGGATAGAAAATTGGATAAAAGATGGTATTCAGAGAGTAGTGGTTAATGATTCATACTCTGAATGGTCATAGGGGTGTTATTGGTTCAGTGTTGGGACCCTTACATTTTAAATGTAATTTATAAAACAAAATAGGTCTGGAATTAAAAATATAATTTCAAGCTGTGCCGGGGAATAACGTCCTTACAGGATGTCTCCAACTTACAAGCCGACCTCAATGCTCTGTGTAATTGGGGGACTATGGGGCCAATGAGGGTTAATGTTGATAAATGTAAGGTTCTGCACTGGGGGGCTAAGAATATGCATGCATCATACATACAGTGGGGGGGGCGGGGTACAACTGGGGGGGTCTATGGTGGAGAAGGATCTGGGGGTTCTGGTAGATCACAAGCTTAATAATGGCAGCAATGCCAAGCTGCGGCTTCTAAAGCGAGCAAAATCCTCTCTTGTATTAGGAGAGGTATAGACTCCAGATAGAGGATGTCATCCCGGCCCCCCCCGGTACAAATCATTAGTAAGACCTCATCTGTAATATGCAGTTCAGTTTTGGGCTCCAATTCACAAAAAGAACATTGGGGAACTGGAAGAAAGTTGCAGAGAAGGGCAACTAAACTGATAAGAGGCATGGAGGAGATCAGCTCTGATGAGGAAAGATTAGAGGAACTGAATGTATTCTCTACTGAGAAGAGGAGATTAAGGGGGATATGACCACCATGTATAATACATAAGGGGGATATGATCTCCATGTAAATACATAAAGGGGGGATATGATCTCCATGTATAATACATAAGGGGGATATGATCTCCATGTATAATATATAAGGGGGGGATATGATCTCCATGTATAATTACATAAGGGGGATAGTGATCACCATGTATAATACATAAGGGGGATATGAGGATCTCCATGTATAATACATAAGGGGGGATATGATCTCCATGTATAATACATAAGGGGGGGGGGCTTATGATCTCCATGTATAGTACATAAGGGGGGATATGATCTCCATGTATAATACATAAGGGGGATAATGATCACCATGTATAGTACATAAGGGGGGGATATGATCTCCATGTAGAATACATAAGGATGGATATGAGCTCCCATGTATAATACATAAGGGCAGGGATATGATCTCCATGTATAAATACATAAGGGGGGATATGATCTCCATGTGTATAATACATGAAGGGGGATATGACCACCATGTATAATACATAAGGGGGATATGATCTCCATGTATAATACATAAGGGGGGATATATCTCCATGTATAATACATAAGGGGGATATGAATCACCATGTATAATACATAAGGGGGTCGGATATGATCTCCATGTATAATACATATGGGGATATGATCTCCATGTAGTAATACATAAGGGGGATATATGTATAATACATAAGGGGTATATGATCTCCATGTATAATACAAAAGGGGGGTATATGATCTCCATGTATAATACATAAGGGGGATATGATCACTCCATAATAAATACATAAGGGGGGATATGATCTCCATGTAATACATAAGGGGGGATAAAGATCTCCATGTATAATACATAAGGGGGGATATGATGCTCCATGTATAATACATAAGGGGGGGATAATGATCTCCATGTATAATACATAAGGGGGGATATGATCACCATGTATAATACATAAGGGGGGATATGATCTCCATGTATAATACAACCAAGGGGGGATATGATCTCCATGTATAATACATAAGGGGGGATATGATCTCCCATGTATAATACATAAGGGGGGGGGGATATGATCATCCATGTATAATACATAAGGGGGGATATGATCTCCATGTATAAAACAAAAGGGGGATATGATCTCCATGTATAATACATAAGGGGGGATATGATCTCCATGTATAATCACATAGGGGGCTATATGATCTCCATGTATAATACATAAAGGGGGATATGACCTCTCCATGTATAATACATAAGGGGGGGTGGATAATATGATCTCCATGTATAATACATAAGGGGGATATGATAATGTATCTCCATGTATAATACCATATAATACATAGAGGGGATATGATCTCCATGTATAATACATAAGGGGGGATAATGATCTCCATGTATAATACATACATAAAATACATAAGGGATATGATCACCATGTATAATACATAAGGGGGGGCAATATGATCTCCATGTATAATACATAAGTTGTGTGGGGATATGATCACCATGTATAATACAGAAGGGGGGATATGATCTCCATGATATAACATAAGGGGATACTGATCTCCACCCCGATAATCTCTCTATAATACATAAGGGGGGGATATGAACTCCATAATACATAAGGGGGATAGAGATCTCCATGTATAAATACATAAGGGATATTGATCTCCATGTAAAATACATAAGGGGGGGGATATGATCACCATGTATAATACATAAGGGGGGGATATGATCTCCATTATAAACATAAATAATAGGGGTAATATGATCACCATGTATAATACATAAAGGGATATAATATGATCTCCATAAGTATAATACAATAAAACGGGGATATGATCTCCATGTATAATAACTAAGGGATATGATCTCCATGTATAATACATAAGGGGGGATATGATCTCCATGTATAATACATAAGGGGGGATCTCCATGACTCATAAACCATATAGTATATACATAAGGGGGATAATACGGGGGATAAATCTCCATGTATAATACATAAGGTGGGATATGATCTCCATGTATAATCTGCCTACAATAAGAGGGGATAGATCATATAATCTCCATGTATAATACAAAAGAAGGGGGATATGATCTCCATATAATACATAAGGGGGAATGATCTCCATGTAAAAATACATAAGGGGGATATGGAATGTCCATGTATAATACATAAGGGGGGGATATGATCTCCATGTATAAAACAAAAAGGGGGGAATGATCATCCATGTATAAATAAGTCATAAGGGGGGGATATGATCTCCATTGTATAATACATAAGGGGGAATATGATCTCCAAATAAATAACATAAGGGATAGGGTATAGAGATCTCCATGTATAATACATAAGGGGGAAGGATGATTCTTATCGTATAATACATAAGGGGGGATATGATCTCCATTGTATAATACATAAGGGGGGGGATATGATCTCCATGTATAATACATAAGGGGGATATGATCTCCATGTCTATAATACATAAGGGGGGGATATGAACCCATGTTATAATATATAAGGGGGGATATGATCTCCATGTATAATACATAAGGGGGATATGATCTCCATGTATAAATACATAAGGGGGGATATGATCTCCATGTATAAATATAAAAGGGGGGATATGATCAATGTATAATACATAAGGGGATATGATCTCCATGTATATACCAGAAAGATAAATACATAAGGGGGATATGATCTCCATGTATAAAATACCATAAGGGGGGATATGTCTCTCCATGTTAATTCTAATCATAAGGGGGATATGATCTCCATGTATAAATATATAAGGGGGATATGATCTCCATGTATAATAATAAGGGGATATGATCACCATGTATAATACATAAGGGGATATGATCTCCATGTATAATACATAAGGGGGGATATGATCTCCATGTATAATTGGCATAAGGGGGGGGGGCTATGATCTCCATGTATAATACATAAGGGGGGATATGATCTCCATGTATAATACATAAGGGGGATATGATCACCATGTATAATACATAAGGGGGGATATAATCTCCATGTAAAATACATAAGGGGGATATGATCTCCATGTATAATACATAAAGTGGGATATGATCTCCATGTATAATACATAAGGGGGGGATATGAGCTCCATGATAATACATAAGGGGGGATATGATCGTCCATGTAAATACATAAGGGGGATATGATCTCCATGTAATAATACATAAGGGGATATGAAATATCTCCATGTATAATACATAGAGGGGGGTTATATGATCTCCATGTATAATACATAAGGGGGAATATGATCTCCATGTATAATACAAAGGGGGATATGATCTCCATGTATAATACATAAGGGGGGATATGATCTCCATGTATAATACATAAGGGGGATATGATCAACCATGTATAATACATAAGGGGGGATATGATCTCCATGTAAATACATAAGGGGGGATAATGACTCCATGTATAATACATAAGGGGGGATATGATCTCCATGTATAATACAAATAAGGGGGGATATGATCTCCACCATGTATAATACATAAGGGGGGACACATGTATATGATCTCCATGTATAATACAATAAGGGGGATATGATCTCCATGTATAATACATAAGGGGGATATGATCTCCATGTATAATACATAAGGGGGATATGATCTTCCATGTATACAACATAAGGGGGGATATGTAGAATACTCCATGTATAATACATAAGGAGGATATGATCTCCATGTATAATACATAAGGGGGGATATGATCTCCATGTATAATACATAAGGGGAATATGATCTCCATGTAATAATACATAAGGGGGGATATGATCCCATGTATAATACATAAGGGGGATATGATCTCCATGTATAATACAAAAGGGGATATGATCTCCATGTATAATACATAAGGGGGATATGATCTCCATGTATAATACATAAGGGGGATATGATCTCCATGTATAATACATAAGGGGGGTATATGATCTCCATGTATAATACATAAGGGGGGATATGATCTCCATGTATAACATACATAAGGGGGGATCATGATCTCCATGTATAATACATAAGGGGATATGATCTCCATGTATAATACATAAGGGGGATATGATCTCCATTTGT